CAAGGTGTGTTTCCAATGGTACTGAAATTCTGTTTATGGTGAAGTCCTGTGAAAAACGTAACTTTAATACAAACAGTCTCCAGTCTGTGGAACATGAACTCTTATCTTTCTGAAAGGCACTGCCTGGGAAGATGGACAGTTTATTTTTCTTCAGTTTTGCTTTTATTCTGCAGCTGTTTTAAGGAAATGTTTCAAGGTTTCACTTCAACAGTGGGATAAAACTGTTCTTTTAAGTTGTTTTAGTAGTTTTATCCTTTAATCTGAAGACTTCAAAATGATATAGTTGAAGCTTGGGGATATTTTCCATGGTAGGCTGGAGTATTCAGAGTGAAATAGGCTTGGTCATTGCAGATTTCATTGGAAGTATTGTGTTTTGTTCTTGCCTTCCATGTAACCAACAGATAGTGAGAAGATAACTCAGATATTTTTTTGTCTGCTGGATCAGAGTTCATCTCAAATGGAAGACCATAATTTACTTTTTTCACATCACTGACATGGAGTTTACAATTTTGTTGCAACTCTGAGTGCTCCTAGAAACCTGATGTTGAACGTAGCTCACTGTTTCAGAGAGAGAGGTGCAGCACCAGCAGAAGTTATAAGAAACACTTGCAAAAAATGATTTACTATAAAATGCTTTCTATGAAATAGCCCACGAGTCATAAGCCAAATTTAAATGAACTATCTGATATTATGCATTACAGAAATATGTTGTCATTCTATTTCAAGAAATAATGACTGGTATAGAAATTATAAGAACATATCAAGGACTGAGGTTGTATCAGATTTTTTTTCTCCTCTGAAACAATTCCAAGAATGCATAGAAAATAACTTAACATATATGGGCATGTGTAGATGAAATGGGGGCCCTAAATTGAAGTGGTGGGCTTTTAAAAACACTGCTTCAATTTAGGGCCAGTTAAACCCCCATGTCGTGCACATGCCCGACATTTGCTGGTGGCAGAGGGGGAGGGCAAGCTGCTGGCAGCTGGAGCAGTTCCTGGGTTCTGGGGAGAGGGGGGATGCTGGTGCTTCCCTCCGCAGCAGCGGCACCCCCCCACTAGGAGGCACCCACCCACAGCACCTGGCTTGGGTGGTCCCAGGGGGCACTGCAGCTGTGGAGGGAAGCACCAGGCCCCCACACAGCTCAGGCAGGCTCCTGGGGGGGAAAAAAAAAGATCAGGCTTCCCACTTTTTTTTTTTTCCTCTCTTGGGCAGAGCCTGCCTTCCCAGGCTGCTGCCAGGCTGCCTGCAGGGCTTTCTGCAGAGCTCCTGAGCTTCACGGCTGTTAGGACATCAAACTAAAACCCAAAGTCATTTAAGGTGCATTACGGTGCTAAATTTACTACAGTGGCTGTAATTGATGTGCAGTATGCCACCAAGCTGTGCAAACACCAACACCATTAAAGCAGTGCAAAAACATTTAACCCACTTTATAATGTCTTGCACACATGCCCCTCATTGCATCTACACACAGCCTATGGTTTTTATTTGAAAAGAGGTCTCTTTAACTCTGTCTTTAAACAGATAGGCAAACTGGGATCTGTATCCATATGGATGGATGACCAGACCTCACCTATCTTGTCCACTACTGCACAGTGTGATGCATTATATACATATGCACAGATGTACAGTGAAGCTTACATGCATGTGCATGTGTTTGAGGACTAAAGAAATACAAAGAACCAGCTCTTCCAACAAAGAAGCCAAGAAGCATCCTTCTTGGACCTTCTGTTAGATACCTTGAAGCTTTGAGGAGTCCAGTGCATTCCCAAATGTCAACTTAGGGGATTCCCAAGTGTCAGTTTGGGAGATTTGAAATCAGTGATCATATCTAACAGAAACACCATGGTGGGAGGGTAATACAAGACCTGCTACTCCAGCAAGGGAGCTTACATACAAACTTGCGTATAAGAATATACCTCCTCTGCTCGGGCCTGTAGGGGGGCTGTCAGGAAAGCTAAGGCAGACATAGACTTATGTCCAAGCATCCAAGATCAAAGATAATAAAAAGTCCTTTTTCAAATATATAGGGAGGATGAAAAAAGCACCGGGAAATGTGGGGCCCCTGCAAGATCCTCTGGGCAATCTGGTGGTTGCGACAGAGGAGAAAGCAGACCTCTTTAAC